GAGGACGAAATCAAACGCAAAACCGCCGACATCACGGAGCTTCAGGCCAAGCAAGAAGAGCTGCAAGGCGCAAGAGATGTCCTTCAAGCTGAGCTCGAGACATTGCAAGACAGGAGAAGGCGCTTGGAAGAGAAGCTTGCCGAACGAGTCGCTGCTGTCAAGGAAGCACGCCGCGCCCTTGATCAGCGGAACGAAAAGGTCAAACACGTGCTCAAGGAGGTTGATGAAGAGGATGCAAAGATCAAATCGAGCGCAACCAACCGATACAATGTGCTCAAGGAATGCCGTGTCAATGAGATCAAGATTCCGCTCACTGAAGACTCACGTCCACTGACATCGTTACCGATGACTGACATGCCGCGACCGGACGCCGATGCAATGGACATTGACGAGGACCCTGATTCGACCCAGATCCAACCTGCAGAGGTCGACGATTACGGCATAGAAGTGGACTTTGAGGAGCTGGAAGAGGAGCTGAAGACGGAGATTGTTGAGATACTTGAGAGCGTGAGTGTGCCAAATATGTACAGCTGCTTGGATCTTACTAACACTTTTCAGGAGGACGACCAAGATGAGCGTGTCCAATCTCAGGCAGGAACCCGCCTCAAGGCTGCAGAGTCTAAGCTGACCGATGTCATTACCAACCTGGAGACTGACATCAACAAGGCCACGCCAAATATGCGTGCTGCTGAGCGTCTGGCAGCCACCGAAACGCGTCTAAAGGCCATTGACGAGGCGTTCGCCGAGACACGTAAGCGTGCAGCAGCAGCAAAGAAAGCCTTCGAGGAAGTCAAGACGAAGCGTTACGATCTTTTCATGAAGGCATTTAACCACATTTCAGAGAACATTGGTGGCACATACAAGGATCTGACAAAATCGCCACAGTTCCCGCTGGGAGGACAGGCGTATCTTGATATGGAAGACAGCACAGAGCCGTATCTTGCTGGCCTCAAGTACCACGCCATGCCGCCGCTCAAGCGCTTCCGTGACATGGAGCATCTCTCTGGTGGTGAGAAGACGATTGCTGCGCTGGCTCTACTGTTTGCTATCCACAGTTATCAGCCCTCTCCTTTCTTTGTCCTTGACGAAGTTGACGCGGCGCTGGATAATGTCAATGTCAGCCGTGTGGCCAAGTATGTGCGCGAACATGCTAGCCCTGGTATGCAATTCATCGTCATTTCCCTCAAGGCGGGCTTCTTCCAAGAAAGTGAAACATTGGTTGGTGTTATGCGGGATCAAGGGAAGATGTCTAGTAAATACCTGAGTCTGGATGTAAGTCACCTTGGTCCTGCCTCATTCTTAGAATTGGACGCTAACATTATTTCCAGCTCCGGAGGTACCAGCCCGCGTAAGCTCATAAAAACGAATATACAACGTGATGTCGCTGTTGCTATGGCGACGATGGTTTTCTTCGTTACGACCTGGACATGGCGGTTTAATGTGTTATCTCCTCATATGTTGTTTGCTCTACCGGATATGCAAAGCTTTAAGTCACGATACCTTCTCCTTCTCAAAAATAAATTGCTCCTCCAATTGCGTGCTGACGTGATATGTACGCGTTATCGCGAGTTCCCGTGCTTAGTTGAGTAAAGTCGCCTACGTATCGCATCATAGCTCCGTCCACGGACATAAGCGGTGATTAAATGTGCACTTCGCATGAATATCCCTTTGGCAACCCATAGCTCTGAGTCATCTGCTTCGCTAAGGTACAAATACATGTACACGCATTCTGGTTCTTGCATTCTAGAGTTGGCTGCGTCTTGAGATTGTCTGCACACAACACCCTGCAATGGCACTGAATGCTCCTTCGCCCCCAAATGCATCTCTTGGCGAGACGACACCACTCTTAGGCAACCCACCTCCTGACCATGAAAGAGACATTGAACAACAAGCCAGCCATGGAGATTCCTTCAAGCACCAGGGCCTACCAGAAGTCCGAAAACGCATGAAATATATATTCCCAGCCTTAGCCATCGGTGTAAGCTCCCAACGCTCTTGATCCCATTTCCAGAGCACCTAAAAAAGAAAAAAGACATCTGTAATTAACAATTGCATTCTAGGTTTTCCTCTCAGCCGCAGACCAAACCCTCATAATAACCACGTATGGGACCATAGGAACAGACCTGCACGCCCTCTCCTCGACCTCCTGGATCGCAACCGGCTACTTCCTCACGCTCTCGGCCTTCCAGCCACTCTACGGCAAACTCTGTGACATCTTCGGACGAAAACAATGCTTACTCTCCGCTTATCTGATTTTCGGCATCGGATCCGTGGGATGCGGGCTAGCGCGTAATATCGGAGAGCTTATTGCCGCGCGGGCGTTCGCGGGAGTAGGGGGAGGCGGGATGAGCGTTTGTACTACTGTGCTGATGAGCGATATTCTCGGGTTGAGGGAGAGGGGCACCTGGCAGGGTTACCTCAACTTGGTTTATGCGGTGGGTGCTTCTGCGGGAGCGCCCCTAGGTGGGCTGCTGGCGGATAGTATTGGCTGGAGAACAGCGTTTCTGGCACAGGGCCCCATGTGTGCTTTGGCTATGGTGGCTGTGGCGCTGGCATTGGAGCTCCCGGAACAAGACGAATCGCATTGGAAAGAGAAGGTTAAGAAGGTTGATTTTCTGGGGGCGGCGATATTGATTCTGGCGGTTTTCGGACTCCTTGTTGGACTGGATCGCGGATCGAATGTTTCTTGGTCGGACCCGATTGCCATTGCTGGACTCTCCATGACACCGTTTTTCGGTGTGTTTGTTTTGGTGGAGAAGTATGTGGCGAGTAATCCGGTTGCGCCTGGTCACATTATTCTGAACAGAACGCTTTCTGCGTATTACTTCTGCAACTTCTTTTCGTTGGGAGGTTGGATAGCCGCGGTGTTTTACATACCCCTCTACTGGCAGGTTATCGGCGACTACGATGCTTCACACGCTGGGCTTCTTCTTGTTCCCTCCATTATCTTTAGCGTCACAGGCTCACTCTTTGGCGGCTTCTACATGAAGCGGACGGCAAGATACTATTGGATCACAGTTTCGGCATACACAGCGCTCACGGTTGGTCTCTCGTTCATTCTGCTCTTCGCCGGGGTCCTGATCGAGAGTATCCCGCTTATGGTAGTGGGGACAACCATATGCTCTTTCGGTACCGGCGTTGGTATAACAACCACGCTTATTGGACTCATCGCAAACGCATCACATGCAGACCAGGCAGTTGCTACGGCATGTTCTTACCTGTTTCGCTCGCTCGGCTCGGTCTTTGGCATCTCGTTGTGCGCAACGGCATTCAATCAGACCTTGCGCAAGACTCTTCAGAGTGCGTTGCAGGGCGATGACAACGCAGCTGAAATTGCAGAACGAGTAAGGGCTGGATTGTCGTACTACAGGGCTTTAGATCCTGTTCTAAAGAGCATTGTACGAGAGTGCTACGGAAAGGCTACGAGAATGGCACTGGCGGTCGCGATAGTGCTTGTAGCTGGGAGTGCACTTTTGGTGTGGTTTATCCATGAGAAGAGTTTGGAAGATAACAAGGCTGCAGCACCTGAGGCGGACGAGGCGGAGTAGTAGATCGGGGTCTTGGCAGTAAGTGGAGAGTTTGGGGATGAAGTGTGGAACGACCCGATGGTAAGTGTAGTTGTACTAATATGTTATTGGAAGTTGGACGCAGGATTTCGGACGGAGGCGACCGATGCAGATTCATTCTTCACACTCCTTTGTTCAGCATTGAACATCTCTCTCTTACCAGTACTTTGGGAATTTTAAAATCTCTACAGTGGATAGAAAGTCGGTACACCTGTCTCAATTGAGAAGAGGCGGTATGCCCTCGTAGTAGCTTTCTCTTTGGGCATCAATGTGATTATGTGCAACAAAGTCACAGAATGTTGGCGTTGCTGAGCATACTAGCTAGTGATGGTCGTGGGAAATAGCTCAATGTACGTCTTGAGTAGCCTCGTAATGCTGGTTACCCCATACTGGAATAGCCCTAGTGTGAATGCTACTACATGGATTTTCCCCGTGTTTTCAGCCATCCACACTTTCCCTACCTCTTCTATTTCCCGCAGATATGACATCGACGTAACGTTCCAACGGTTTGCCTAAGCATCTTCCGTCATCTCTGTGTCTGCAACCGAGAGTGTGGAAGAAAGCATGCACTAGTTGGGCACTAGCGACAGATGATCGACGGCATGCCACGATCGATGTCTGCAGTCGCACATTTGCTTCTCCCAGTAGATTACCAGCCACCACTAGAAACAAAAGCCTCGATTACAATAGACCCGCGGGTTCAGAGCTACTGGTTGCGCTACGTACTGTGGAAGCGCCTCAATGACGTGGTGCCAAAGACTACATTTCTGAGCGCGTCGCAGGAGGAGAATGATGTCACATGCGAGATGCAGCCACTCTCTGACCGCTCCCAACGCAAGGCGAGCACTCTGGAGATAACCACAAAAATCTCGGCCCGTAGACGCAACTCGCCTCCCCCATTTCCCATTCGAGACATGACTACAGCCCAATAATGTCCGCTTTCGGCCCTTGTTACACCTGTCGGGTCCTAGACAAGTAATCGACCGTTAATCACACCACAGGGTCTACGCACTACTGCTATCCTTTTGTCCCACAGCAATCCTCCGGCTGGGAATGACGTCGATTTCCCAATGAGCACGTTCCTGGTGCGGCCCGCGACTGTGGGTATGCCAATCAAAAAGAAAGCATGGGGCCACCAATGGCGCCTTGCCAGCTGTACACGGCCATCATTCAGCATAAGACCGTTCAGACCAGTAGGGATTGCATGGGGAATTTGTCCCCCCTTCGGAGCTTACGATGATCATGCAAGTGAACACGGGACTTGCTGCTTAGTCAATCTGTGTGCTTTAGACTAAAGAACTCCCCGTTGCTCTCCGTTGGTTTAAGCTTTTGAGTTATCAAGACCCTTTTTTTGCCTCTTCTTAACGAGTCATTTGGTCCGAATATCTGGGGTAAACAGCCCGAAGATATTGATAATACTATTCCGAAGACGAAATGGGTATTGCTGTAAGTATCTGGTGCGTGGTCATAAGACATATTGTTCTATATCTAGATACTGAAGCCTGGACAGAATCCCTCGGTTGATCCGGCAAACGTGGTGCAATCCCTCGTATACATTCTCTCGGGAGTGTTTGATGCTACTAGGGACTTGTATCGCACTTTGTCTTTGAAGGAGCAGAGGGAATATGAACAGAGCCTCAGGAGCTACTCGAGAAGAGCCGAATATGTCTCGGATGAGAGGTTGGGCAGCGAAGAAGCCATCATGACGGACAAGGCGACAATGGTCCGGCAGTTTGAGATTGGATATCACGCAATGGGCACCGAGTTCGCTATGGGTGATGGTATGCACTTCTCCGCCGTGCCATCCTGCGCATTCGTGTTTTGGATCTCGTTGCTACATCTCTTGAAGTCGAGTGTCGCAGACCAACTAGTCAGCTAACGAGACATGTACTAGTGACTGCGCAGACGGAGCTCCAGTGGCAAATCATTGCCTTGCAGAGCGTGCTTGTGAGCACTGCCATATACGGACCTGTGTCATCTGACTCGGCGGCTCATCAATTATCGAATATCAACGCGGCTTCAAGAGCGGCAGCAGCGAGGTCGATTGAAATCTTGGTCGCACTGCAGGACCGGCAGATGGATGAGCGCCCAGTTACACCGCGGTCGATGCATTCAGTTACTACGACTCGTTCGAGCCCACATCATGCGCCTTCGCATGTGGCTTCCCATGTAACGTCTCATTCGACTAGCCATGCACCGTCACATGCGCCTTCTCACCATAGCTCTTATGCGCCGTCTGTTACTCCGTCTCAGTCGATATCTTGCGTACGACCGACGACGGTTGTAGTAGCGCCATCTCAAGTACCGTCTAAAGTTCCGTCGAAAGTACCATCAAAAGCACCGTCCAAAGCACCCTCCCAAGCGCCATCTAAAGTACCGTCCCAGGCACCATCTAAAGTACCGTCCCAGGCACCATCTAAAGTACCGTCNCCATCTAAAGTACCGTCCCAGGCACCATCTAAAGTACCGTCCCAGGCACCATCTAAAGTACCGTCTCAGGCACCGTCGAGAGCTCCATCAAAAGCGCCGTCTAAAGCACCTTCGCACGCAGCATCTCAAGCACCATCGCGAGTCCTAGTACTTCCTCAGCCACCCATTGGTGCCAATTCGACTACTACCGTGACTGTCAAGCACGATGAACCCGTACACGTACGAACCAATAGCCCAATTAACACAACAATCCTCGACTGGCAAAGCAAAGTCGAGCCCGCGTCCTCCGTCACCGAAAGCACCTCCACCATCGTCCCATCCCACCCAGGCCACCTCTACTGCCAATACGCCTACGACCTCCAGCGCGACCCCACGCAGCCCCTGCACCCCACGCTCCTCACCACTAGAGATGCGCGCTGCCCGCACTGCGCAGGGTCCCTACATCTCTCCCCGGGAAAAGCCTGGGAAATCTCCAAATGGGCCGGCGACACCGAACGCACCTTCCAAGTCTCAAACCGCTTCGTAGTAAAATGCCATCGCGACGGGCCCGACGCGCAGTACTGCTGCGTTATCTGCTCCAAGCACTCGGATTCCGACACTGTTTGTGGTGATGTCAAGGCGCTGGTTAAACATCTTTCTGATGAGCATGAGGTTAGGGAGTTGAAGCATGAAGAGGATATTGTCGAGGTTATTGAACAGGTCATGGTGGTGGGGAAGAGGGATAGTGGCGTGGGTTATACTGGGGGTGCGGCGTCGAGGGGGAGTCGGAGTAGAAGGAGTGCGAGTGTAGTGTCTGGGAAGGGGAGGAGGAGGAAGAGTTTGGGGGTTTTGGAAAGGGAGGTTGATGTTTTTGATGTGAGGAGTGGAAGGAGGTGATGATGATACTTTTTCTCGAAAGATGTTCTTTTCTTGAAAGGGGAAATTATGCGCGGATCTTGGGTGATGGGATGGGATGATGGTGGACTTGCGGAATTAAGGCAAGACGATTATGATTGCGTTTTTTTCTTACCATTCTATAGCGTCTTACTGCTTAAGATGTATAAGTACGACGAAATTTAATCATGACGAAACACTTATTCTTACAACTGTATCATGCTTTCATGGCACAACCAATCACCCACCTCTAACCCCTTTGATCTCCATACTCCCCCTCTTCTCATAGTACCCCTTAAAATACCCACTCAACTCTCTAAATACACACCCGTTTGCAGAAACACTCCACGTACAAGGGTCTCCGCTAAGCGACTCATCTCTCAATGTGTTTGTTCTGAGGTACTGGCGAGGGATTACATACGCGATTTGGCTTTGTGTGCGGAGTCGTCAACGGCTGTATGCGTAGAGAATTTAGGGATTTTATCTGGGCACCAGAGTTTCTCTTTGGAATGGAAAGGGAGTGTGGTTCCGCGAATTGATGCATAGTGGAGAGGGAAGTGACCTTGCAGTAGGTGGATTTAGGGTCAGAGTGACAGAAATGGTAAAAGGTGAAATAGGTTGTTGATAGGCAGACTAGATACTCCTGTTCGTAATCCAATATTCTGTAGGAAGCGATATTTTGATCTGTGTAGTTGAATTGGTTTACTCTATTTTCTTACTACTGTGGTGAAGTCAGTTTGAAAATCGATTAAGTCTAACTAGAATCGAGATTGGAAAATAAGTAGCTGATTACATAGCCTTCCATGTCTATCCTCGCTAGGATCATGCTTACAAGCACACAATCGTAGTCACCAAATTACATATAGTTAACACAACTACGTACGTATCTGACCCTCTCCCGGAAAATCATTTCCACCGGAACTGCCCATGATGTTATCGGTCCGACTGGCGCTTATCCACGATACTTACCACCGAAGAAACAACACCAAACAGCGGATCATAAGATGCTTGACAACAACGAAGCAACAAAAATACGACAACAAGCATCTTCTCTGCTTACGCAAAGAGAATTAGCAAACAAGGAACTTCCCTCGAACAATCATGTACCTTAAGCTAACCCCCCCAGCTTACTTCTCGAATCTCCCGAGTCACAAGAACTTACGAGCATTCGAATGTACCTTTTTCCAAACGACCAGTCACAACCCCCCCCCCTCTTCTTGCCTCCACCACCACCACCACCCCGAATCCAACCCTCAAAACCTCCGATACCAACAACCACCTCCAAATCTACCCCACCCCACCGCACACGCACACGCCGAAAATTCGGCCCGAACCCAACCCTAACCCTCGGACCTCAACCCCCCGCGTCGCATTCGCTTTGGGGGGCTTCTGGACTCGCGAAAAAAAAAGTGAAAGCGGTGTGTGTGTGTGTGTGTGTGTGTGTGTGTGTTTGTGGTTCGGGACCCGGGTCTTGCTGGAACCGAAAGTGTTTGTATACATGTACGTACCCTTTTACTAGCGAAACAACGTGTAGTAAGTGAGGAGGGAAGATGGATGGGGGGGAGATGGGAGGGGAGATGGGTGTAGTATTATACGGCGAATCCACAATACTCCTTTCATGCGATATTTCGATATTTTTTTTTTTTTTAAAAAACTGGAGGTTGTGGTGACTAGGCAGTTAGTATCTTCTGTTGGTAAATGCACAGTGTGGGTATGTTTTGATTGGTAGATAAGTATGGTTTTCTATTCTAGCACTCTAGTACAGCTAACTGCTCCGACCCCATGCGATAATGCAACGTAAGTAGTAGCTTTAATTCGCCGGTGCGAAAGAGAAGTGGGGGGGGGGGNGGTACTGGGCAGCCCCCCCCCCCTCCGATTTCCCACTAAATGTTTAGAGGCAAGAGGGGCGAGGAGATGGTTACATAAACCCCTCACGGCAACGATACTTTCCTGTAGCAATTTCGCGACTCGCACGGGTTGGAAGAGAGTCTAGGTAGCGCGGGTGGTGGGGGGAGGGAGGTTGTGGGCGTAACATAGCGTCAGCGTGGGCGTACGTAGCATTATGTAGTACAAAGACGTCATTTTTCGCCGCTGGTACTGCTACCGTTCACCTCACACACCCTACATCCCACACCTTACTATACCTATCGAGGGGTATTTGTATGTCACCGCTACTACATGACTAAACCATACACCTTGTTATTTCAAACGCCGAGCTAGTTAAAAAAAAATCGCAGACAAGGCGAACATAAGCCTCATCGCGTCCTTGCCTCGATGTCTACAATAAAAAAAAAGAGTGCCATACAGCTACACTCACAACTCACCCTCCCCCCCCCAGCCCAACCCATCCACACGTCAAACTTTCCCCATTAAGCAAAATCCGTACACCGAGATATCCCAAAGAGAGAGAGAAAAAAAGAAGAGCCGCACTTACTAGTTGCATGTGCTTAGTGAAGCCGCAAAAAAGGGGCGTTTTAGGTGGGGCCAGATCTAACGGGTGAAAATGGTTTAAAAAAAAGATGAGAGAGAGAGAGAGAAAGGGAGGGTGTGGGTCGGGGGAGTAGCGCGGCTCGGAGGTAGCGTTTTTTCTCTCTCTCTTGTGATCTCGAGTTCCCGTGCCGTGTGTGATTTTTCGGGTTTCTTCCATGTATGTCATGTGAAAAGAGGTTCGTGGGTTTCTATTACTACATGCAATTGTGATTTTTGTAGACGGATTTTTATTTTCGTATTCTTTTTTTTTTCGTTTGCAACTCCAGATCCAACAAGGGAAAAAATACATAACCCTATCCCACCTCATCCCCCTCTTTCTCTCTGAAGAGTTAGAGACTAAGCCAAAAAAAAAGCGAGATATAAAAATCTCTGATGGATTTGGAAAAAAGATTACAAACATGATATCCATAGCACAATCGACATGCCTCTCCAAAGAATCAATCCTCGGCGCTAGAACAAGCAATAGCATACAGCCAAAAACCCCCAAACCAAGACAAATCCTGTGCCTGCTTTCGCCTGCTTCATAAACATGTATATATCCTTACCTTAGTCCCACCAGTAAACCCGCTAGAAAAAGACTCGCCAGTCATACGAGAAAAAAAAAGCCAAAAAGAAGTGAATTGCATCGTATAGAGGAAAGGTACGAGATTTAAAAAAGGAAAAGTCGTTTTACATCTGGAAACCTGCGCATACTAATGACCAGAGTCGCTCACACGTCTCCTGCGCCCACGACTGCCGCCTTCAGGGCGCTGGGCTAGGACATCGCGAAGTTGAGGATCGTCTTTATCCTTGTCGGTATGATGTACGCGCACGTGCCTGGGATCATCTATTAGACGAGCACACCACTTTTGATCAGTTCAACATACCTTTGTAGATTGTCCGGCCTGGGATACTTGTGTTCGCGGTCTGGGCAGAATGGACATACATAGCCTGGCGACTGGTGCACAAGGCCGTGTCGTATCATCTCGTTCTTCCTCTTAAAGCCCTTGCCTCCCTCGCCTCTAGGGCAGTTTTTCACAGGACAGTAATGGGGTCGATTTGACGAATGTACGTTTGTATGTGAGCTACTATGGTCAGCATCAACATTAAACAACTACTACATGATACTCACTTCAAAAGATACTGCGTCTGGAAAGGAGCAGCGTTGCAGCCTGGGTAGTCGCACTTGAAGGACCCAGTAGCATGTGAGGGGATGCTTTGTGGCAAGCCAGAGCCCACTGGAGGTGGTAACACTCGTGATGCAAGTGCACCGTCCAGGCTCATATGGCGGGGGCGTTGCTCAATGGGCGTTGGTTGTGAAGCAGGACTCAAACCATCTGAGCTTTGATAACTCTCGCTCGATGCAGACTGCAATGCGTTGTACGGGGCGCAGTCTGAGGCAGCATGTGACGGTCTTCGGGCATCGCCAAACACACTCCCGCCCGCTGATCTCAAAAACAAATCACCACGTTGGAGTGAGTCGTTGGCGCTCATTGGCGAAGAGGCGCTTAGTGATGCAGCGCTCAGTGAAGTAAAGGGCGTTGCTGGTGAGTGCGAGCCGATGGATAATTGCCGCACTCTAGAAGTTGGTGACTGCCCACTCGAAGACACAGACTGTCGTTGGGGGAATCCGTTGACTCTGTTGGCCTCGTGATCACTCGATGCCGAGCGTGCAATGTCGTCCATGTGCCTGAACGAAGGCAATTGCTGGACGGGCGAAGTAGTCGATCCATCGCGAGCGGGAGACGGGGCTTGTAATGCTGGGAGAGTGTCTGTGGATAGGCCTCTTGGTTGTGGGATGGTCAACTGTCGAAGGCCTGGGGATGTCGCCGCGTTGATATCTAGCGAGCCCCCGTTTGTCAGTCCCCCGAATTGCTGATTTGGTGGTTGCAGTGACGTGGTCGAGGCTGCAGAGTTACCAGACAAAGAGCGGTGCATACCATTGGTGTCATGACGCATTCCATTTGATGGGGCAAGCACAGAGGATGTCTGAGATGGGCGTCGGTCTGCTAGCAGGTGAAGAGGCCTGAGGTTGATATCGTCCTCGAGTACCGAATCTCGATGGGTCGACTTGGGATCAAGTTTTGGGCCACGGGCTTCTTGTACAGTGTGATGCAGGGCTAGTGACTGAAAGTGGGCTGATGCAGAGTTGACACGGCTCGAGCCGGACGGGCCCATGGCTGCGGCTGGTGATTCGGCGTCCATGTCGCTGCCAGAGTCGGTATCAAAGTTTAAGGCCTGTTCGCTTGCTTGCAGGGCAATGTCCGGCCTGTTCGGATTCATCTCCCGGAGGAGGACCATATCGCCCTGGGTAGGGCGTGGTCGGGGCCTGTGTGGATGGTGCGTCTTTTGGTGTGGAGAAGCAGAGTCGTGGCTCTGTTGAAGAGTCGGGGGGTCAAACATTAAAGTGCCAATGGGAGGTGGAGTTGGTGATGGAGTTGTCTTGACAATGACTGCCGTCAGGCCAGGGGAGTGCAAAACCGCGTCGTCGTCTGCGTAATAGTGGCTGGTGTCGAGCATCTGGGTAGCCAAGG